TCTCCCATCCACACTGTGAAATGCTTACTCATAATCAAGGATATTGATGTGTAGTGACAAGTTCCATTCAATTGATTGTTCGACGATAATCCATAGTGTCACAATTCGGTTTGTGCACGGCCGATCCTTACGGAATCCAGCCTGTTGATCGCGAAGTTGCGTGTCTACTGAGTCCTTCATCCGGTTCAGCAACACCTTGTTGGAAACCTTTACTGGTACTGACAATAGTGTGATTCCTCTGTAGTTTTCACATTTGCTCAGATCTCCTTTCTTTGGTATCGCGATGAGGTATCCTTCTTTCTAGTCTGTCGGCACTTGTTCCTCCTCCCAACTCTTCCTGAATAGAAGGTGAAGCATGTTTCTAGTTACTTCCATGTCTGACTTCAGTGCTTCAGCTGGAATTTTGTCGGGTCCTTCTGCTTTCCTACACTTGGTTTGTCTGATGGTCATCCTGATTTCCTGGATCGTTGGTGGTGGGACATCTATGGGAAGGTATGTGTGTGCTGCTTCGATATCCGGTGGGTTCAGTGATGCTGGTCTCGAAGTACTCTACGCATCTGTCCCGCTGTTCTTGAATTTCAGTGATTGGCCTGCCTTTCTTTGTCCTTGACCGGTTTCTCTGGTTTACTATATCTCCCTGCTGGTTTCTTCTTTGTATCGTAAAGCTGTTTCATATTCCCTTCTCTTTCAGCTTTTTTCGCCGTCGTTGCTAGTTCTTCCATGTATTTTTGCTTGTCGGCTCTAATGGTCTTCTTCCCTTGCTTGTTTGCTTCTATGTACTCAGCTTGTGCTTGGACTTTCTCTGCTCGCGTTCGGCTGTTGTTAATTACTGTCTTCTTGTTCTTATTTTCTTTGATCTTGTCCAGAGTTTCTATAGAGGTGCATTCCTTATGTTGATGCTTCTTGAGACCCAGAACCTCCTAATACGTTGAGGTTAGTGCTTCTTTGATCCGTTCACAGTTGTCCTCCGTAGTAGTTTCTTCTTCTTTCAGTAAATCCTGTAAGGCTTGGAACCTGTTGTTGAGAGTTATCTTGAATTTGTTGAGTTTGTCAATATGTCGAAGGAAGGCTGTATTGAACCTGTGTAATGCTGTTTGTTCAGTTGTCCAATGCTTCTCTAGCTTCAGTTTTAAATTGGCAACCACCAGGTGGTGATCTGAAGCTGTGTCAGCTCCTCTCCTGGTTCTCACGTCTTCCATTGACCTTGTGAATTTTTTACTGATACAAATATGATCTATCTGGTTCTCTGTGGTGTGGTCCGGTGAGATTCACGTGGCGTTGTAATTACCTCGTTCTCTTTATTCGAAGGATACTTTGATGAGCCTGCGTCCATGAGACTCCCATCCTATAGGTGCATTTCGTGCTTCTTTGAACAGCATCATAGAAACTTCCTGAGTGTGTGGAACATTTTTTTCTTCGTGACCAGAGTACAGCAGAATCTCTCCCAACTCTTATTTGTAAACACGTTTTGTTTAGAATTTGCCGTGGTAGTAGTAGTGGTAGTTGCATTTACCTTCAGTGTATATAAATATATACTTTAACGTGTAAAGAAATATAATATTGAGTGTGTTTACTCTCAAGACTTTGCTTATTATTTAATTTGTAGTATTATTTGTTAGTCTATTTTTGCTAACCCTTTTTATTAATTAACTTTCTATTCACCTTTTTCGTTTATTCTCCCTCTCGTTTTCTCACATTTGTCTTTTTTATTGTGATATATATATATATATATATATATATATATATATATATATATATATATATATATATATATATATATATATATATATATGGGAAAGTACTAGAATTTCTCTCCACAATCGACTTATAAATGAAATTCAATGTAATATATTGATACTAATAGTTGTTCTGTACGTATCCATACCAAGGTTGGACTTGATAGTTTCAAATAAATTAAGCGTTTGGTAGAGAGTTAATAATAAATTTATTTTTTTCTGCCTCATTGAGTAGGGAAATTGTATTTCTGTCGTTTCGTGACCTAATGTTAGCCACTTCTTGAAAGTAAATACATAACCGACATTAAATTAACACAAGTTTTTCGTGTTATTTATTTACTCTCCAGAAATGGTTTACATTAGGTCACGAAACGTCAAAATTCAATTTTTCTACTCATTGGGATATAGCAAAAATCTATTTATTATAAATTGTTCCATACATATAATTTAGTGTAATCCAGACAAGGGAATTCAACATGTGAGATCACCCTCCTTTAAGTCACAAATCTGTAAGTCCTGATTAATAAAGTGTGATCATTAGAGATTTTATCTGAAGACCTAATTTTTACTAGATGTGTTGATATAACAGATAATCCAATTTTCTTCCATGCGGGTTATACTACGCTAATACAACGAGGCCGGTCTGGTTAAATGAGCTTATAATTCCATTACATTGTAAACTCGATCGATGAGCTACACACAGATAGATTGCGTCATATCACATACATGATTCACGACCAAAAGGTAGAAAACAAAAATAACTCTAGACAACATTTCACACAAACAAAAGCAGCGACATTTGGTGATTCCAGAGTAGAAATCAATAACACGAAAAGAAATTACATTCCTAATAGTCAGCAAGTTGAGTACCTGTTTGTCTATATTCAGTAACTAATCATATACAATTTTACTTCCAAAACCATTTATTTTTTGTCATCTTGTATATCGGCCTGCACCACACTGATATATTCATAGAATTCAGTCAGTCAGTAACAACGTAGAACTTCATACGTACGTACATCAGTTAGCGTTGCCATACCACATTAGCGCAGAGATGTAGTTGTCGACTCAAATCCCGTAGTGGGAGAGGTAGTAAGAGTATAAGCAGTAATCGGGAAGATTAGGGTTTGAAGATGTTATTCAAGGAGTATAACCCAGTGAAATAAATTTGGAAAGAGAAAAGAGAGACAAGGAGAATTCAGAAGATTTGAATTTGGGAGAACACAAAGAGTAAATGCACCTGCGTTATTGCAAACGATTTTGAACCATATCATTCAGGGTCTCTAACCATCGGTTGCTATCGTCTCGCGGATCCCAACCAAGTAGTTTACACCTACCAACATGACTGAGTGCACTCTTCAGTGAATTCATGAATTTGTGCCACGTTTTGTTGTGGCCGCCCCTAGCTTTGTTCCAACATACTCCTACACCATAAAACATCTCACGTCGTGGCAGTCGGTGGTTGGACGTACGTAAGACATGTCACAGCCATCTCAACTGATGAAGTTTTGCTACTTCCTCAACTGATTTACCATCCTTACCTAGTACCCGTTTCCTAACAACTGTATTACTTACTCGATGGTCCCAGGATATACGAGCAATGTCTCGAAGACACCTTTGATCAAATACTAGTAACCTACGAATATCCTCTACTGATACCGGCCTGGTCCTACGTTGTAGATGACTGACTGACTGCTGTATAGTAATCTGCCAATCAGAAACTCTACATGTGACTTTTCAAATTCCTGACGTTTCTGGATAAACTTTTAGTGAACGCTGATTGGATAAAATGCATCTTAGTTTTTCTTAATAGCCTTTCACCACTAGTTTTTTTAAAACTAATTATTTATCTCTTAACAGCTGTCAGTTTCTCTTCTATTGTTTTAAGTAACTAGGTTGTGTGTCAGATGTGTGGACGAGAATGATAATGATTGGTTGTTTTCTGTCAGACCAGTAGATAGTCTGACAGGTGTTACATGAGTTATATATTCTCCTATCCTTATTATTATTATTGCTTGTTGTTAGTTTAGTAACATGTTCACGTTCTAGTCGGGCTGATCACGTGTTCTTGGTCTGAGTGTCCTGTAGAATAGACACTGGAAGGGAATCTAGCATCCCATTCGTGCAGACAAAGAACTCAGAGCGTTATAACAGTATCATTAGCTTTCTCACAAGACAATTGTTGATCAGAACAGCGTATATTAATTTGCTCTTGGTAAAGATGTTAATCATTGTATCCACCCACCTTCTATACATCTGCTATTGACTCCAGTTATTTTTAATCTGTTTGATCTTTTTATTTTAACAAACAAAGTCCAGCTATTCATCCTTCGAATATAAATTATTGTGTAATATCCCTTGTACAATGCTTCACTAGATTTGTACATGATTAATTAAAATGAACTGATCAGAGCTTTGGGATTTGAGCTAGGTCAAAGCATGCGATAGTCAGGACTATACCCTGCCAACCACTTCTCTAAAGTTGTATACAGTCAAGCACTCCTCTCCATTTCGTTCTGATAACTTATTCCAAATTCGTATACTACACTTTGAACTACCTTTATTTATGTTGAAGGCTTTAAATATGTATCGGTTCTAGTTGACATCTCACACCGCCACAGCTAAAAAGGATATTCAAGTATTTATAAGCAAATGGAAATTAAGTGATTAGTTAGTTAGCTGAAAATGAGAAATGAAAATTTGAAAATAACACAATATAAGATCTAGAAGAAGTTGTAGAACGAATGTAACTACGCCACTGTGACTGCTATATAGCCGTTTTACTCAACATTACCAACCGTACATCACAACTACCACACAGACTCGCAGCTAGGAAGTATACATCTGCACATGTATATCGACCGTTAGTTTCTTCACAGGCATGTATCGTCAGCTGGCTTTTAGTTATCTTTTAAGATGTTTTCGGTTGAAATTAAAGGACTGGCAGCCTGAAAAGATTATTGACTGTGCCAATCAATATGCATCTACCAACTGGCTCATCATAACATGTTTTAATTAGTTCGGAAATATGACAAATAACTCATTTAAGAACTTACTGTATCTTTCATGTAAAATGGACGCACTGCTGTGAACTAATAACAACAGGATGCTACAAAACATCAAATATATAATACTAAGTTATTCAGTGGTGTGTAGCGCTATTTTCAAATTACTCAATATTTTTCTTTCTTTATCACACTTAGTAATATATTTACCAACCTATCCATTTATTTATAGAATATTTTTTCAAATAGACTATACCCTATGGCTAGTCCAAATTCTATTTGTGATTCAACATCTGAAACAATCTCTAACGATTCATCTTGTTTCTCATTGAAAGTTATCGATACTGTCGATTTAAATGTTCAACAACATCAACAGGATCATCAGAATGATCTTAATCTTCAATCAAGTATGAATTTGACAAGTAGTAAGACTGAGAATATCAATACTACTACTACTACTACTACTACTACTACTACTACTACTACTACTACTACTACTACTACTACTACTACTACTACTACTACTACTACTACTACTACTACTACTACTACTACTACTACTACTACTACTACTACTACTACTACTACTACTACTACTACTACTACTACTACTACTACTACTACTACTACTACTACTACTACTACTACTACTACTACTACTACTACTACTACTACTACTACTACTACTACTACTACTACTACTACTACTACTACTACTACTACTACTACTACTACTACTACTACTACTACTACTACTACTACTACTACTACTACTACTACTACTACTACTACTACTACTACTACTACTACTACTACTACTACTACTACTACTACTACTACTACTACTACTACTACTACTACTACTACTACTACTACTACTACTACTACTACTACTACTACTACTACTACTACTACTACTACTACTACTACTACTACTACTACTACTACTACTACTACTACTACTACTACTACTACTACTACTACTACTACTACTACTACTACTACTACTACTACTACTACTACTACTACTACTACTACTACTACTACTACTACTACTACTACTACTACTACTACTACTACTACTACTACTACTACTACTACTACTACTACTACTACTACTACTACTACTACTACTACTACTACTACTACTACTACTACTACTACTACTACTACTACTACTACTACTACTACTACTACTACTACTACTACTACTACTACTACTACTACTACTACTACTACTACTACTACTACTACTACTACTACTACTACTACTACTACTACTACTACTACTACTACTACTACTACTACTACTACTACTACTACTACTACTACTACTACTACTACTACTACTACTACTACTACTACTACTACTACTACTACTACTACTACTACTACTACTACTACTACTACTACTACTACTACTACTACTACTACTACTACTACTACTACTACTACTACTACTACTACTACTACTACTACTACTACTACTACTACTACTACTACTATACTACTACTACTACTACTACTACTACTACTACTACTACTACTACTACTACTACTACTACTACTACTACTACTACTACTACTACTACTACTACTACTACTACTACTACTACTACTACTACTACTACTACTACTACTACTACTACTACTACTACTACTACTACTACTACTACTACTACTACTACTACTACTACTACTACTACTACTACTACTACTACTACTACTACTACTACTACTACTACTACTACTACTACTACTACTACTACTACTACTACTACTACTACTACTACTACTACTACTACTACTACTACTACTACTACTACTACTACTACTACTACTACTACTACTACTACTACTACTACTACTACTACTACTACTACTACTACTACTACTACTACTACTACTACTACTACTACTACTACTACTACTACTACTACTACTACTACTACTACTACTACTACTACTACTACTACTACTACTACTACTACTACTACTACTACTACTACTACTACTACTACTACTACTACTACTACTACTACTACTACTATAACTACCGCTGCCGCTACTACTACTCTGTGTGTTAGTCATAAACCACATCCCTTTGATAGCTGTCCCACAGTGGACAATAGATCTGCGGCTTATATCTACTCTGTCAATGATGGTCACAGTATGAATAACAACCGTCCATTTCCACGATCATTCGATCATGTCAATAACAATACCATACCATCAACAAACCTAAAGTCTTCTACTAATGTTCTTATCGATTCTGAAACATCACATCTTGTTAATTTAGTTTCTTCCGGTAAGATAAGTTACGAATGTATGTGTTTACCAATCATTTCATTGTTTTCGGTATTTTATTTTTTATGAGACATCTCATGATTAATTTTTCCACTCTGTCTTTTTATGTACATTAATGATGATTGAAGTGTAAAAGTATGGTATAGGGAAGGACGAGCCAATCAAAATAGAAAAAAGTGACTTTCAAGTCCTTGCGTGAAGTTAGAAAGCGAATGAGTTTTATCTTATATCACGTAAAATGAGACAATGAAAATATATTTGTAAAGTCTCGAAACGTTTAAAATGACAGCAAAAATACTGATTTGCAGCCATAGATTAAAAAAATAATGGTATCAAACGTATAAAATTTCCAATTTTTTCCTTGTAGATTGTATGTCACAGGCAAATCTACACAATCCTTTAATCCTAATCCAAACCAGTTAATCTTGAAACAAAATTTATCCCACTATACTTCGTGAACTGAACAATCAGATTTAAGATAGAATCTCTTAGGTTTTCGTTCAAAATTTGCACATCTATAAAGTCGCTATAAAGCCTTTCTGTTTTTGACAGTTGAGATATCAGTTCAATGATGAAAGTCCTAAATACCTAAGTGTAACCAGGAATAATATGGGGAATCACAAAACTATTCATATCCTTACAAGATTGAAAGAAGACGAATAATCTCCATCGTATTTGTATTTTATAGACAGAGTAACTTGTAGAAGACGTCAAAAGATTTGTAGTGACTCACGTTTATCACGAGAACACGACTGGTTTAATAAAAACGCTTATTATTATAACCAAGTGTACCAGTGACTGTTTTAATGTGCTTTTGTTTGACTGTGCTAATGACAGCTATTTTGTGCTTCCATTCTTATACTTACACTTTGATTGTAACTTCGCGCGAATTCGGTTACGTTCTGTAACCAAACTTGTATCCTGGCACGATCTCGGTATCCTTTCGATGCCACGAGATCGCCAGCAAATAAACCTCGACTTGGCCCATTAACTGTCTTCTGATATTCGGCTTCTCGGGGATTTTATGGAGTCATTTGGAACGAGCTTCTTACGCCTTCTGATCTATTTGGCACGTGTTTCTTGGTAGCGGTGTTCATAGTTAATCTCAACTCGACGCCACGCTACAATTGGTAATCCCAATTCGACTACAATTGGTGACCCGTATTTTGGAACACGCCTCAACTTCTGATCAAATCTTCCAAAGAAGCCAATTCGGTGAGTCTATGATTTATCTATCCACGTCTGTCGTATATTTTCATATTTTTTAATATATAATATACGCGACATGACGGATAACGATATGAATAGTATTAATATAATAGACTCACACGTATGTGTACCGAACTCTTGTTACTTTTTATTCGCGTGATGATGAATTCCACGCTTTATTCGAGAAATGTTACCCTATTAACGATTCTCCTCGCTGACCCGGCTGCTTGGTACGGAATGCATACGCATAAGCATATCCGTCTACCACCCAGCACCAAATGGTTAAGTAAACGGTTTCACTGCCAACTTAAAAGTGTTCTACGAGCACACGAAAACCGCAACTGGCACGAAACCTTACCGCTCGTTCTTTTAGGGGTGAGAACGAGCTTAAAGGCAGATATCCAGTGTTCCGCCACTGAACTTGTATACGGCACGACATTGCGTCTGCCCGGAGAATTCTTCACACCACGGAGCAGACCTAATTTCGGTAAATCAGACTACGTCCATCGACTGTCTGCATTTATGCGAACGCTGTCTCCGGTGTCAACTCGAATACAACATCGACAGGTCGCTCTCCCTCGAGAGTTATCTACCTGTTCACATGTTTTTGTACGAGTAGATTCGGTACGCAAACTTTGGCAACAACCTTACGAAGGCCCTTTTCACGTGATCGCTCGTCACGAAAAGACCTTCAAGGTTGATCGATATGGACGCGTCGAGATCGTCAGCATTGATCGTCTCAAACCAGCACACGTCGATGACAGTGCCCTATCTGACACCCTGAGATTCAATGCTAGACCTATCAAACCTAGCGGGATCCTTAAATCTTCTTCAGGTCCCACGCTAGATACATCTGAGACCTCATTCTCACGTCCCAGTCAACAGCACGCGTCATCTGCGCCGTCTACGGACGAGACGACAGTCTTACGTCCAGATCAGCAGACCACGCCGCCCTTGACTTCGGATGAGATTGCAGGCTCACGCGACGCGAACGAGACTGCCGTCTCACGTTCCGGTCGCCGAGTACGGTTACCCGTACGCTTCCGCGAATAGTCGCACAGTCAACTACCGATACGGTGTAGGATTATTCCTATACTACACGTATGCTACACTCTTCTTTTTTTGATTTTCTTTTTGTTTCCTGAGCCCACGCCTTCGACCATCTCCGTTTGGTTCCGTCGACTTCAGTCAACTTTGGCGAAAGCTGGCCTGATCACCCATGCTCTTGTCAACGCACTCAGTCGATATATTGGTTTCGAATGCTTGGTCACGAACTTGGTCGTAACGGTCGCTTCTGGTCTTTTGGCTCAACGTGGTTTCGTCCTACGTCTGCAGCGTTTCTGGTGCGCACCTCTACGAACGCCCTCTTGAGATTCTGGATACAAACCACTCTGGTGTAGCATGCCAACTCAAGCAATAAATACAACACATCGCTCCTGGTACCGTTCTCCGAAAACGACCTTCGTTGGCAACTCGACGATCAACGATCGCTTTCCTGTTCGCCAATTCTTCCGTCCTACAATCGCTCATCAGCCGATCAGTCCCACGATTCAAACCGTTATTTATCGAAAGTGTAAACCCTTTCTAGCGGGGGGCTCCTGTAGTGACTCACGTTTATCACGAGAACACGACTGGTTTAATAAAAACGCTTATTATTATAACCAAGTGTACCAGTGACTGTTTTAATGTGCTTTTGTTTGACTGTGCTAATGACAGCTATTTTGTGCTTCCATTCTTATACTTACACTTTGATTGTAACTTCGCGCGAATTCGGTTACGTTCTGTAACCAAACTTGTATCCTGGCACGATCTCGGTATCCTTTCGATGCCACGAGATCGCCAGCAAATAAACCTCGACTTGGCCCATTAACTGTCTTCTGATATTCGGCTTCTCGGGGATTTTATGGAGTCATTTGGAACGAGCTTCTTACGCCTTCTGATCTATTTGGCACGTGTTTCTTGGTAGCGGTGTTCATAGTTAATCTCAACTCGACGCCACGCTACAATTGGTAATCCCAATTCGACTACAATTGGTGACCCGTATTTTGGAACACGCCTCAACTTCTGATCAAATCTTCCAAAGAAGCCAATTCGGTGAGTCTATGATTTATCTATCCACGTCTGTCGTATATTTTCATATTTTTTAATATATAATATACGCGACATGACGGATAACGATATGAATAGTATTAATATAATAGACTCACACGTATGTGTACCGAACTCTTGTTACTTTTTATTCGCGTGATGATGAATTCCACGCTTTATTCGAGAAATGTTACCCTATTAACGATTCTCCTCGCTGACCCGGCTGCTTGGTACGGAATGCATACGCATAAGCATATCCGTCTACCACCCAGCACCAAATGGTTAAGTAAACGGTTTCACTGCCAACTTAAAAGTGTTCTACGATCACACGAAAACGGCAACTGGCACGAAACCTTACCGCTCGTTCTTTTAGGGGTGAGAACGAGCTTAAAGGCAGATATCCAGTGTTCCGCCACTGAACTTGTATACGGCACGACATTGCGTCTGCCCGGAGAATTCTTCACACCACGGAGCAGACCTAATTTCGGTAAATCAGACTACGTCCATCGACTGTCTGCATTTATGCGAACGCTGTCTCCGGTGTCAACTCGAATACAACATCGACAGGTCGCTCTCCCTCGAGAGTTATCTACCTGTTCACATGTTTTTGTACGAGTAGATTCGGTACGCAAACTTTGGCAACAACCTTACGAAGGCCCTTTTCACGTGATCGCTCGTCACGAAAAGACCTTCAAGGTTGATCGATATGGACGCGTCGAGATCGTCAGCATTGATCGTCTCAAACCAGCACACGTCGATGACAGTGCCCTATCTGACACCCTGAGATTCAATGCTAGACCTATCAAACCTAGCGGGATCCTTAAATCTTCTTCAGGTCCCACGCTAGATACATCTGAGACCTCATTCTCACGTCCCAGTCAACAGCACGCGTCATCTGCGCCGTCTACGGACGAGACGACAGTCTTACGTCCAGATCAGCAGACCACGCCGCCCTTGACTTCGGATGAGATTGCAGGCTCACGCGACGCGAACGAGACTGCCGTCTCACGTTCCGGTCGCCGAGTACGGTTACCCGTACGCTTCCGCGAATAGTCGCACAGTCAACTACCGATACGGTGTAGGATTATTCCTATACTACACGTATGCTACACTCTTCTTTTTTTGATTTTCTTTTTGTTTCCTGAGCCCACGCCTTCGACCATCTCCGTTTGGTTCCGTCGACTTCAGTCAACTTTGGCGAAAGCTGGCCTGATCACCCATGCTCTTGTCAACGCACTCAGTCGATATATTGGTTTCGAATGCTTGGTCACGAACTTGGTCGTAACGGTCGCTTCTGGTCTTTTGGCTCAACGTGGTTTCGTCCTACGTCTGCAGCGTTTCTGGTGCGCACCTCTACGAACGCCCTCTTGAGATTCTGGATACAAACCACTCTGGTGTAGCATGCCAACTCAAGCAATAAATACAACACATCGCTCCTGGTACCGTTCTCCGTAAACGACCTTCGTTGGCAACTCGACGATCAACGATCGCTTTCCTGTTCGCCAATTCTTCCGTCCTACAATCGCTCATCAGCCGATCAGTCCCACGATTCAAACCGTTATTTATCGAAAGTGTAAACCCTTTCTAGCGGGGGGCTCCTGTAGTGACTCACGTTTATCACGAGAACACGACTGGTTTAATAAAAACGCTTATTATTATAACCAAGTGTACCAGTGACTGTTTTAATGTGCTTTTGTTTGACTGTGCTAATGACAGCTATTTTGTGCTTCCATTCTTATACTTACACTTTGATTGTAACTTCGCGCGAATTCGGTTACGTTCTGTAACCAAACTTGTATCCTGGCACGATCTCGGTATCCTTTCGATGCCACGAGATCGCCAGCAAATAAACCTCGACTTGGCCCATTAACTGTCTTCTGATATTCGGCTTCTCGGGGATTTTATGGAGTCATTTGGAACGAGCTTCTTACGCCTTCTGATCTATTTGGCACGTGTTTCTTGGTAGCGGTGTTCATAGTTAATCTCAACTCGACGCCACGCTACAATTGGTAATCCCAATTCGAATACAGATTCATCGACTATGAAAATCTGTTTACTAATTGTAACATTGTTTTATGCAAGTGCTTTTTTAAAACATTGGATAACAGCTGGTTGAAAATTGTCGTGATTGTTTTTAACTCAGCTCTAAACTATACTGTTATCTTCGAATGGATCATATTTAAATTAACTAATTAAAAAACAACATGACTGTATTTGTGGTAATTGTGCAATCCTCATAATTTGATTCACGAACTGGTCTTAGGTGTATCTCTAGTGAAAACCAGGAAACACTGGAAAGCCGTTTCAACCTAGTACCGCATCCATTAACAGTGCGCGTTCGCGGTGCTGCAATCAATATTCGAACCCTGGACCTTCTGAAATGGCCATTGGATAGTTATCCACCCTAGGCAGATGAATATAATTGCGTAATTTCGTGAATTGAATCAAGTTAGACAAGTACGCCATCGGATGGCAGCCTAATAATTTAAAAGTTGAGGGTTTGCACATGAGACCGAAGGTCTAAAGTTAAATTTTCCCTTGTAGGATCGTGGATACTCACTACTGAGAATTCCCTACGCTCTGATTTTCAATGGTGCTAAATAGCTCCTAATTAATTAATTAAAAAAGATGTAAAAGAAATAGTTTGTTGAGATAATATTTACTTATAAATAATATTCTAGGTAAATCACATAAATCACACAATTTTCATGTAGAAGGAATTTTGGCACAGTTTTATATATTGGATTTATACTAACCTTTTGTGTTTTACACACTTTCTGTAACTCTCCGAAATTTCTAGAACAATGCCTTTCACTTAATCATTCTTTTTTTCAGTAATAACAAAAACTTATCCACCTATTCATATTAACAAGCCAGGTTCAACTCGTACGAAAGCCTCCGTTTCTGATCATTTATCTTGTCAAATGGCATTTGCTCCTACAACTTTGGAACAATTATTAGATTGGATTATTATTAAGCAATTAAAATTTGTACATCAGCTAAGAAACTCTCATCATCATACTACTACTACCACAACAACAACTGCTATTACTACTACTACTAATAATAATAATCAATCCGATGTAACTATTGACCTGTGTCCTCTAGGTCCAGCTATGTGTGTTTATTTAATGCTACGAGCCATATGTCGGCAGTGTGATCGTTGGGAAACAATTGAGTTGAAACAGTTGGCAAAAAACTCGGATCCGAAGGTAGTTAATAATAAAACAACCGAGGAAAACAACGATTTACTAAAAAATAATGTAAATAATTCCTTGATAAGTTTATCCTGTCTTGTTTTATTGAGTTTTGTCTCATTTATGATATGAAATTCTTTTAACTATTGCCAATCAAATTTTTTTTGCATGTTTATGCGTATATATCTTCAGAAACTCGCATCACATTTTATTCAGCTCTTTTGTCACATTCCTTGTTTATCTCCCAACTATAGCTTCCATCTTGATGTGGTGATCGCGTCTGCCCATTGTGGTGACCTCATCCAGGCATATTAACTGTTAAATTTGACTTAAGTTCCACCATAAGAAGCAGTTTGTTTTGAGGGCATTAAGATTAAATTGACAAACAATCCGGGGACAAAATTTTACTGCCACCAGTATGGGTTCCGCTTATACAACTATTATCTACAATGATACTACAGCATTCCTACAAAGAAAAATGCCATCCCAGAAAATAGTGCGGCAACATGTTCTTATCTATATTACCATCTAACTCTTGTCACTAACATATTTCTTGTTTTCTTTTTCCTCATTTTTTACAGACAAATAATAATCAGTTAACCTTAAATCAACTCAAACGTAGACATCATCATTTGCTGAGTCTATTAATAAGCGCTGTTAATAGATTTCATAGCTTTGAATTGTATGTATATGAATCCATAAAAAGAATTGATTTAGACTACCCAATTACAGAAATTCAATGCAAATATTCAACAACAACAACGAAATCATTGTCACCGCCTTTGTTGAGTGATGTAGACCAGAAATATATTGGTCTGATAAAATCTGTCACAGCTTGGTTAGCTAATGCTAGTCAGTTACTTCATCTAATCACTTGTGATATTGATTTCAATGCAACTTTCAAGGTATGTTTTTTTGTTAACTCGAAAAATAATTGCATCAAAACACTGATATTTTTCAAGTGTTTAGATAGATGCGTTGTAATGAAATAACTCATGTTTTCTTTTGATATTTATAACATACACGTATAAATCCAGATATTAAATATTCAGGAATTCAGTGTCGTGTTTTGTGCGTTTCTCACTTACTCATCAATTAGCAATTTTTTTGGACTGTTGAATTGAAAAGTCTATTTTCTGTCATAACTATCCAAGTTTATTGACGAAGGTCTTCCTGTGTACAACAGTCTCCTCATGTTTCTCTGTAAACAATTGCTACATTCTGGTCATTTCAGAGTATCGATCATAAGCGCTTGAGAAGTACATTCACTCCCACGCTAATTCATGTGTAAACCATTAGTCATGGAAACCTACTTAGTTAAGTATCGCTCTCTAATCCTAATGGCTTATCAGGTGTATTTTCATGCTATAAAACAATCTGAATAATCCTACAGGATAGTGTGCTCTGTCACCAAATCGGTCAGTGTTATCCATTAGACCCGGTGTAATCTATTATTGGTTCTTTTCCTGAGAAAACAAGTGCAACCCCATACTTCTGATTAGCTGACTATCGACCAATCAAGTCGCGATATGTTGCTTCTTTTGTGAGCAAAAGTATGGTATACTGACAGCCCAGTACTTAAATAATCAGAATTTAAACAACTTACATATTTTGCACGAAATTTAAAGTGGAGTGGTAGATAAAAAATATAGTAACCAAGTGAAAATTGGTCAGTCAGTCAGTCAGTAACAACGTAGAACTTCGTACGTACGTACATCAGTTCGAGTTGCCACACCACAATAGCACAGAGATGCAGTTGTCGATTCAAATCCCGTAGTGGTAGAGGTAATAAGAGTATAAGCAGTAATCGGGAAGATTAGGGTTTGGAGATGTTATTTAAAGAGTATAATCCAGTGAAAATTGGTAATATTTGGTTTTTAAGATGTTTGAAATCAATGGAAATATCTACACAACGAAGAAATGAATTGTAGAACATACCTACTCCTGAGGCATATTGTGTGTTAAAGCATTTGATGTCGTTCAGTGCGGAATCAAAATTGATTAGTGAAGCAAGACAATTTTTCTACCATCTTACCCTTTTTACTTTAAATCTCGATCCTAAGTTTCTCAAATTTCTAAACAGGAGTGATTTTTTGTCAAAATCATTCGTCATTAGTTCGTCCATATATTATAGTCTCGTCGTTTTTTTGTTTTATAAGCACGTAGCGCTTCCTGATTGGCTGGTAAGTCTCTCAAGGTCCCCAGTATAGCATACTTTTACCGGCTTTTGATTGTATTATTGTTTTTCAACATAATATTACGATTAAAAATCTTAATCTCATTGATGAATAATTCATTAGAAGTTTTGGTTTTTACGTGTTCACTGATTATCCATTCATTTTTTCTTGTTTACACTTGTTCTTCGTTGTAAAATTTCCATTTCAAACAGTATTTAGTTTTGGTCTCATTTTTTAAATTATACAACAGTGGGTCATTCATACAAAAATTTTATACAATTGAGAATGGAAGATTTTTGAAGATGCTAGTAATTTTAATGGTTGAATGTATAAGTCGATTTAAGCTAGATTACCATAGAAAACCTGGAAGCACTGAACGGTCGTTTTCAATGGCGACCTAGCTTAGATCGACTCATGAATCCAACTGTTAAAATCAATTAAGAGTTGTGAATTTTTAAGAGGTCGTTTTATGCTCCTCATGACGTAATATCCGATAGTTAGCCATTACGACGTTTATTATTATTTATTTATTTCGTTAGTCAAATGTAAGAGTTTTTCACGCACAGTTGCACAAATATGTATGTACATGAACTCATATTGGTCCTTCATTTGTAAATTAATGTCTTTTACGTCTTTGTGTTTAGTAATTTACTGTTAATACTGTTATTACTATTTTTGTCTACTGAGAATTTTACGACCAAACAAACACAGAATAAATAAATTGACAAATGGTAATTTAGATACTCAAAATAATGAATAAATAGCTTTTATATACTATGTATTTTAACCGGTTGGTACCACATATACCTTCATGCACACTCAAACATAGATACATGGAAAGAAAAATTGCAAAATAGACTCATTTATCACCCCATCAATCATTTATTGTTCTTTTTTAAAAGAAAATTTTCGCCTTCATGTATTCATTTTCCTTCAATGTTCTTATTAGGTCTCTTTAAATTTTCTTTCATTTGGATTATGATATGTATGGTTATCCAACGGATGTTTTCTCTCTCTGTATCTATACAAAATGATCTATCAACTCACTCTACCCCACTAAATATGTACTAGTTGTTGTTCCATCATCATCATCTCCTTACTGCCAACAAACACTTGAAGGTACCTCCTCTGAAGTTAATTTTGATTTCTAGATTTTTTGTCGACTCACGACATACTGTTTCTCTACATTTTTGGTAGAGTCTACCGTACCTCTCTCTCATGTGTGTATTTATCCGTGTGGAGTTATTGGTTTATGCACACGGTTGATTTCGTCTGCTCATTTACTCGCTCGCCTTATTTTAATCCATCTCTCTCACACTTAACTTATATATAAATTTATTTAAAATTTGAAGAAGAATTGGTTTGTTTTTCTCAAGTATAATGAATTATTTGTGATAGAATTTAAATTTAAAATGTCCGTAAAAGTCAAAGAGCGTTATATATGTTTTTTTTCTATAAAAAAAACATCGTCTTTTTACGTTTGGATTTTCATTTATCTTTATTTTAATAAAAATGAACTTGAAATTTCTAGAAAAAGTGTTAACGATATAAAGCCAGTTATTAGTAGAATGAAAGATATAATTCGTATCCGAGATGAAATCACAATGGTGACAGAATATATTTCATGTGAAATTCAAGAGTACGTCGAAACTCCCCACTATTTATGCTTTTACTCAATTTCTCCATAAGTACTTATGTTCCGAATGCATTCCGATCCTTCTAAATGGAAGATATTGCCCCAGGACTGATCTGTGTCTTGGGAGTTTCAGCAGCCTCAACAAGTTGGTAGTCAGTCTGTGTCGCTTTAGATGTAGGAAATATATTCTTCTACCGGCTATAGGACAAATATACTGGACAACAGCCTACTCTGTGGCTATAATTTCACATAATAATTGTTAATAAGGGCTTCTGGAGGTTGTTGAAATCATGAACCGATCATTGTTAGACCACAAATGTGGACATTAACACTTTTGGATGCCTGCTCAATGGCCTGGAGTTCGTGCGAGGTCTAAGGTCCTGGGTTCGAACTCTGCATGCGGGATCGTAGATAAGCACCGCTGAGGAGTCCCATACTAGAATGAAACGGCGGTCCAGTGCTTCCAGGTTTTCAATGGTGGTCTAACTTTGGTCGGTTCATGGTTTCAATAAAAAATAATAATAATGACCTCATTCGTGATCAACTTTGAGAGCGAATTCCAATTCTAATAATAAACCGCAATCAATTTCGGTTATATGATAACTACCCACTATAGGCAATGAAAGATGGTCGTGAGCATTACCGTTGACGTTTTAGTTAGTTTTGAGAATTATCATCTTATGTATTTCCGATAATTTTACTATATGATGGTGAGTTGCATTCTACCAAAAATAGTATATAAGATCTGAACATAAGATAACGTTTTGATATATTTCTAATAGCTTTCATCATCTATATTTCGAAATAATTAACTTTTTATAATAGTTTAGTTGTCTAAACTGTCTTATTTCTGACTAAATGCTTTGGCTACTTTGAATTAAATAAACGTTTATATTTTTTTATTGAGATCATGAACCGCTTGATGTTAGACTGAAACGGTCGTCTAGTGCTTCCAGGTTTTGAATATTACCACGTAATAATCAATCAGTTATATTTATCTTAATGCTACAGGAGTTCAACTGTAGCTTAGATAACTCACTGGCAACATCTCAGACTATGAAACTTAGTGACCCAGATTCAAATTTAGTAAAGGCTATTACTTCAGTAGTGCAGGTACACTATGCTAACGGCTAATAACTTGCACAGAATCCCGTAGGTCAACCAATATTTCCTATTAACTCCCTCTAACCACCTAGAATAAGCACTTAATTTTTTTCTCATTGTATATTCTCCCAATATATCATCATTCATCTCATCCTTTTTTACTATTGTATAAAGTTGTCTGTTGACGAACTGTGCCAATGGAGTCCTGATACATTCGACCATGATGATAATAACGCTGTTAAGTTGTCAAATACTGCTACTACGTCATGGGATCAGTTGAAAGAACAATTGGCTGAAATCGTCCAAACTGCATTTATCTATTTAGCTGACCTTTGTGTACTTCGATTAGATATAATTGCGATACCACAATTATTATTGTATTCGACTAAATCTGTACAAATTTTATCAAATCATCATGAAAACTGTGCGACTGATAGTAACACATCTAATGATTCACCTGACTGCTGTTTCCCTGATCGACAATCACTGGATAATAATAATAATAATAATAATAATAATAATAGTTCTGTCGAATTAAACGAAATGAATGATAGAGCACGGATCACTTCGAATCGTCATTGTTCAGAGAAGCAACAACAATATAGTGAAGTGTTTAATAGTAAAGTGAGTTCTTTTTACAGAAAAAGCTGGCAAAATTGTTCTCATATATATATATATATATATATATATATATATATATATATATATTTATAGGATAAATGAATTGAAGCTGACAGTTAGGGTACAAGATTCACTTTTCATTCTATGTATGTTACTGGTCAGTCGAACAAAACGATAGAAAGGCAGAACAGAAAGTAACACACACGCAACAATTATTGACATAATATTATCTAGTTTTCGTTCTTTCTTAATCATTACTTACTTACTTACCTACGCCTGTTACTCCCAATGGAGCATAGGCCGCCGACCAACATTCTCCAACCCACTCTGTTCTGGACCTTCCTTTTCAGTTCTGTCCAATTTCTGTTCATTTTCCTCATGTCCGTCTCCATTTCTGAGCGTAATGTGTTCTTTGGCCTTGAGGATTCCGTGTGAGGGCTTGCCTTGTGACGCATTTGGATGCCTTTCCTTAATGTGTGTCCTATCCACTTCCAGCGCTTCTTCCTGATTTCTTCCTCCGCTGGGATCTGGTTTGTTCTCTCCCACAGTAGCTTATTGTTTTGTGTAGACAACTGTTAATAAACAGTTGTATCTTGTGGATGATGGCTTTCGTAGTTCTCCATGTTTCCACCCCATACAGTAGAACTGTCTCGACATTTGTATTGAAAATTCTGACCTTGGTATTGGTTGTCGATTGTTTTGAGTTCCAGATGTTCTTCAGTTGTAAATGTGCTATTCTTGCCTTGCTGATCCACGCTTTCACATCTGCATCAGACCCACCGTGTTCATCAATGATGATGCCAAGGTACGTAAAGGTCTTTACATCTTCCAAATCTCCATCCAGTGTGATTCGACTGGTGCATGTTGTGTTGTATCGGAGAATCTTGCTTTTCCCTTTGTGTATGTTGAGACCTACTGCTGCTGAGGCTGCTGCTACACTGGTCTTCTTCTGCATTTGTTGTTGTGTGTGCGATAGTAGAACCAGATCATCTGCTAACCAGAAAAAATAATCCAAATCCTTCTTAATCATGGTTCTTGTTTTATTTCACTAAGATAAATATTAATAGTTGATTAGTTGTTCAATTTATTTATGATTCCTCTAATTTCAACTTTTTAAAAAATAGTGGCAATTTAAAAGGTAGTTTGAAGTTTATATTCACCTTTTGTCAAAGTACACACCCAAATATTGTGCAAATTAGTGACGCACTATACAATTCATCGTGCTGTTTTTTATAACTGTTGTATGTGCTCAATACTTCTCATTCCCTCTCCTATGATCATTGATATTAACAATACTTCGACTTTTTTAGATTGTACAACTCATCGTGTTAACATTTTATCACCATAATGATGTTATACGGCAACCTAGGCTTTTGGTCACATGTGCCACGTGAATGACTGATGAGTGGTCGGTATTCAAAATAGACTAGTTTTCCACCATAAACAGTTTATCACGTCTAACTAATATTGGTGGATGCAGACTACTCGGGTGGGGTCCGCGTGACTATCGTAACCAATGGTTGTAGACTCTTGGTGACATAGCTCAGAATCGATCATAATTGCGTCGGTGTATACACTCTTTGTCTTCCCTTAAATCGTGAGATTAAAATTACTTCACATTTTCCTTTCTATGAACTAATTCTTTCTCTCTGTGTCATATCTCTATATACAATCGTTTGTTAAAATACATATTACTACTATTGAAGTAACTACTTCTATGAATTTGGTGTTCATCTTGTTGTTCTGATGAGGTATGGCAATTTAGACCGACGCATTTATGTGCCTGGTTCTACATTGTAAATGACTGATGGAGAAATCGGTTTCCTATTATGAGTTGATGAATTTAGTAATGTTTATAAAAGACTCGTACTCTTGTGATAACATGAAAGTTGAATTAAACGGCTGCTTAATTATTTTTATCGAAGTGTTCGCTGTAAACCTATTACTTTTTTTATGTATAAATGAAACTGTTCATAATATTTCTTTGTGGTTTAAGGTACGAAGCAATTAACAGAAAGTCCTCTACCCAGGCTTCATGTTAGTTGGTACTTGAAAATAAAGAATAACTCCAATCTTAAGAGCAAAAATATTTCATATTAGACGGAAACTCGCATTTCCGTTGAAGATATTACTACTGATCTATTTGTAATGAAACTTACCAAATTCTTGTAAGATTAAGCTGTATCTATTTTAAATAAGCACTGACTCGTAACCAAGTTTTATTTCCTAAAACTATTTTAACAATAAACATTTCTATAACTCTTGAGTTGTTTTGAACAAAACTAAGTACATTTTATTAATGTGATCAATAATTTAGAAATTTCATTACTTATTTTATCACTGTACGTGTTTATGTTTGTGTATATTTATTTATTTAAATGAATTTTATAGACAATTTTTATGTCATCTTTCAAGTAACAACATACACGTGTACATACTATGCACACTTGTATAAGTACATACAATGGTCGATGTTTTCCTTGTTTTCTTTCCTGTCTGATTCTACTTACCGAAAGCAGTAAGTATAAAAATATCAGTCACTCACTTTATCTCATTCACTCCAAAGAACTTTATTCTTTCTCAGTTTACATAATGAAAATTAAAATTTTATTGTGTTATACTTATGTTAAAATGATTATTCATTAGTACTGTTGTATAATTTGTTCACATATATATGTGTATGAGTTTATGTATTTTTGATCAAGTTTAAATTGTTGAAAAACATTTGTTTTCAAATTTAATGCATGAAATGTGCAAGTATAGTCGTCACAGTGTTTTTGTTATAAGCCAAATTATAGCTAGGAATTATGTTATATTGAATCATCCACCGTAGTTGCTACCTAGATGCATTTGGTGATCAGGCTTATACATTGTGATGAAACAGCCGAGCTGTATTGGCTGGAATATTTGTTATTTTAAGTCACTCCCCATATATCAAACCTGAATGTTGTCTGTTGTGAACAGGGAAATAAGAAGCCCAGACAAACTACGAAAGCTATTTCTTGGAACGTTATTTCATTTTATTCAAACCTTGTAAAACACTTATATTTATTTTTGTCCCTATTTTATTCTACAGAACATGAGCTTTCGTTTGATGTATCATTCACTGCCATACCCCTTTTTTGTTCCGAAACTATTGTAATTTAAACAATATTTTGCACCTTATTTTCTATCCTAATTCCCGGTTTCGGGCGTAATTGTATTTTCCAAAATTATCGTACGTTGTGGTCAGGATATTCACTTATTTATCCATGTACATTTTTGCACTAATCCGAATTCAGAATTCAGAGTGTTCCAACTGTCTTATCTTCTCTCACTTGCGTGCTTGCCAGCCAGTCAGGTTCTAGAATAGTTTTCTCTCTACCCCATCTCGAACTCACGCGTACTAGACTCAAGGTTAAACCGCTCAGCCTATCGCGCCAAGGTCATAATCTAGAGTAGACAGATCAAGGTCAAGTCATAACAAAGTATCGACGGGGTAAAAGCGATTCAAGGTCATAACATTGTCCATCAAACGTAGGAGATTAGTTTCAGTAACGACAGCAACACTAGATACTTAAAGTTAGTATTAAGATGTATATTTAAAGTTCATGGTTCAAAATTATTGTGTACTGTTTCAGATATAGAGTCATAGATAAGATTTTAGAACATGTTACATATATACTAACCGTGAGACTTTATCTTAATTCTAACTCTGACCCTAAATTCTTAAGTCATCATGATTAATTATTCATATTTGCTGCCTGCTTATTGGTTGAATAGTGTCTCATTGCTAATGACTTCCCCTCATATTCCAGTTATATCGATATTGATATAAAACTTTCCCGTATATTGTTCAACTCACACCATGCAACTAAAAGCAGTTTGTTTTAATTCTGTACCTACTCGAATTGCGTTGTCCACCGCATATTATATCCTTGTTCTTCGATTCTGCTGGGAAATTCGTTTTCATTCTTATGTATTCTTAATATATTATCACATCATCTTGTGTAATCCGCCTCTTCTTATTGATGCTCTGTATTCGATGTTGATACTCAAACATTGTTTTTCTTGTTACAAACAAATATCTCATTGTATTTCTCGCTTTTTTATTTTAGCATAATACAACACTGAAAATACTTAGTGAAATAATAAATTGTCTTCATTCAGCTTATGTGAACCCAGCTTTCATTGTTCAGTTATTTGCACATTTATTACATCGTTTAAATGCACGACTATTCAATTTTATTATTGGCTATGATTGTGAAAAAAATAAAGCAGCATCAGGGCTTCCAGATAAACGAAGCGTGAATCTAGCTGGTTTTTTATTTCAACATAGTGAGGTCAAATGAATGACGCTACGCGGATCCTGTATGCGCGTTTCGGAGACGCAGCACACGTCGTTGGTGCGAGATTCTAAAGTCCTAGCTAAGGAAGCCTGCTGTCCTATTTGGCAAAGTGTTCGGACATTTCAGGAGACCAGGAATAACGTTCCACGTACTCGAATCGTTTGCCCTAGACGTGCGAGGTGATAATGGAACGGGAGGAGGGTTGATCGAGGAGATCAGAGAGTTGTTAGGAGGTGTAGGAAGGATTTGATCGTGACTAACTTGATCTTGTGTGCTGTTACAGGTATGAGGGCTGATGTCACTCACCGGTTGCCCACACCATGGAAAGGTATTTCCTGACATGTTAAAGTTATTGCCTTTTTTATCCCTTTCCAGTTGCTCCGCATAGTAGCTACCTCTCCATTGAGTTGATCATGAAAGGCCTTGAATCTATTGCTGAGTACTATCCTGAATTTTTCAAGTTTGTCAGTATCCCAAAGGAAAGGCCGTATTAAACTTTTGTGATGTTGTTCGCCCCGTTCTTCAGTGTTTCCTAAGTTCCAATTTAATCTTGGTGACCATCAAGTGATAATCCGATGCTATATCAGCCCCTCTCTTGGTTCTCACATCCTCCATCGTTTTCCCGAACTTTTTGTTGATGCAGATATGGTCGATTTGGTTCTGTGTAGTGTGGTCCGGTGAAGTCCATGTGACTTTTTGTATGCGTTTATGTGTGAATATAGTGCCGCCTATGACCAGTTTATTAAAGGCACATAGGTTCGCAAATCTCTCATCACTTTCGTTCCTTTCTCCTAGTCCATGTCGTCTCATGATGTCTTTATATACGGTATTGTCCATTCCAACCTGTGCATTTAGGTCTCCTATCAGAATGGTCAAGTCTTTTGTTGGACAGTTCTGGACGATTGACTGCAGTCTATTGTAGAATTGATCTTTAAAGTCTTCATTGTAGTCGTTGGTAGGCGCATAGCATTGGATGATGTTCATTGAAATGCCCTCTTTCTTTGTTTTTAAGGAGGCTTTGATGATCCCTGGTCCATAAGATTCCCATCCTATAAGTGCATTTTGTGCTTGTTTGGACAGCGTCAATGCAACTCCTTGTGTATGTGGGGCATTTTCTTCATCATGGCCGGAGTATAACAGAAGTTCTCCTGAAGCTGGTCGTTGTTGTCCAACCTGCGTCCAATGTGTTCCACTGATTCCGAGCACCTCCAGATTGTATCTCCTCATTTCTGCAGCAATTTAGAAGACTCTCGATCTTCCACATTGTATGAGCATTCCATGTATCTAAATAAATGGTTACTCTGGTTTTCCGAAGGAACATCAGCCTTGTGACCTCCGAAGGAACTCGGCTTTCACCATGAGGCGTCATAACTCTTCAAAATGAAGACCTTCTAACTCCCAGGGCAGAGTTTAATTGGTTTGGATTATTTTTTAGCGAGTTAGTTTTCTACGGGATGGGGTTGATAACCCCATGCCCAACCCTCCCCCCTTACCCGGGCTTGGGACCTGCAGTAGCCCCAGAGGGGCTCCAGGTGGAGTTATAATAATCTACTGCTCATCATCATATTGGGATTACTTCGAGATGAGTCTTCCTACAATTCTGATAAAAAGTTATATGATCAATAGAGAGTTGATTCAAACAGAATTTAAGTAAATTCATGTACACATCAGAGAATTATAGTTATCAGTACTCATCACTAAACATTTGAATGTTTAGAATTACATTATACGCAGGATCTTGGATGGATGTGCTTCGTTATGAAGTTTTAAGCCAGAAGAAATCAAGTTTCTGCTGGAGGTCCATGCGGTTACCGTAACCAATGATTAAAGATGCTGTTTAACATATCTCAGAATCAATCTCAATGGAGTAAATTAACTCATTCTTTATTTTTTCCTAAATCTTAGCTTTTAGAATTGCTTCATACTTTTTGCCACACTGTTTTACTTTCTCGAATCATATTGTCTATGGCTAATGTTTTACTACTACTGTTGATGTTACCACTCCTACTAAACTGATATGTCATCCGTCTGTGCTGATTTACTATGACAACTTGAACCAATACACATATTTTCCGATTTCTACGTTGCTTATGATTGACTAACTTTTTAAGTTAACATTTTAAAGGACTTCATTTACCCTGTTTTTAGTTTACTATTCCTTAGGCTATTCGACTGACTTCGATAATATCGTACTTCAGCAATTGACAGATTTTTTAACATTACATATTTTTTAAATGTCGTGATGATTCTATTGCCCTTCTACAATAATTGTTTAATTCTATCATATTACTACTATAATTTTTAAATTGCGTCTCTCGTTTTTTTCTGCTTCCATACACACTACTTAGTATTAATTAGTAACAGTATTTAGTTCATTACGGATGTATCAGACCCATTTTTTTGTTTTTCAATGTATACATTCAATCTATTCTTTTTAAACAGTATTATTTGACTGTTCTTGCTTGGAGTCCAGAGATTATTCGGATCTTATTGATTTCATTCATAATGCTCATTGGTTACAACCAGCATTTATACATACATATATATATGACTTACAACGACAACTACTGTTATCCTTATAATCATTATTACTGTCATATTATTTTGCAACGATAATATCTTATAAATATTTTGTAAGATACTATATTGTTTAGTGTATTTATTGGATTTTAAAGTAATAGACAAATTTCGATGCATTCTATTACATAGACATTACATTAGACATACAATGTAGTCTAAGACTTTCAAAGCAAGTGTTTAGAATAATGATAACTATCGCCATCCAGTATGCCTTGTGGAGTATTTTTGCACTTTTTTTCTAGCAAATTCTCACTTTTTAACATATACTTAAGTAAAAAAAGTGACAACATCTCGATTTAAATGATATTTCTGTACGGGTTATTTTAAAAAGATATACAATTATTATTATATAGCTAATTATTGGTTCAAAGACATTCGTAAATAATCGAGATTACTGATTTGCTTGTTTGTCCCCATGGTTATTATCCAAAGTATTATTATTAAAAAGGAGAAAAATCTTTCCACTTGTTTAAATCTAGCTGTTTTGACACATGACTAATTTTAACTTCAATTACCAACCTCCACCTTTGGTGAATAGTAGCGTAGTCTGTCAACTTCTGTTTATATTGTTCATTGTTTGCTTTCTTTTAATTGGTCGATATGTTACACAATTTCTTGATCTTTTGACACTTTTTAGTCATAAAGAATCAATATCTTCAAGACTGTTGGTTAATTCAAGTTCAACCCACTCTCCATCGACCACTTTATCTGTTAACCCGTCAGCAGACCAATCTTCTATGGTCTTAATAGATCCTTTTACTTTGAATGAATTCATTCATACTTCATCTCTATCATCATCAACCCACAAATCAGGATCGACGAATTGTTTAGAGAAAAATAATCGCCTTATTTATTCAAAATTGGATACACAATTGAATCAAAATACTTCAAATTATGTGAGTATATTGGGAGCATGTCAATGTTATCTTCTTTGCAATTATATTGTATTTCTTTCTATCATTCTTCTTTTCCATTGATTATAAGTGTTATGAAAGTGTAGTATATTGATCGGTCTTGATAACAGCCACTATTGGATCAGTTGAATATAAATAGCATACGTAAATGTAGCGTATTTCAAGAATTTGTCTTTGTTACCGATATTCACTATCAGACGATTATAGAAAAGAAACGGATTCAGTTTGGTGTTCAGCGAACATTTGCTGTACAACCTTTTTTAATCGTTGCAGAAATATATTACATTCTGCACCCTTTTTTTGAACGATCACTTGAGAATAGTCGCTATCATCGCTTGTTCATGTATTTGTTAAAGCCTTTAATAAGATACCTATTCTTAGTACAAAGGTTGGTTTTACATTTGTTGTTTCCATACCATTAAATCTCGGAATAAAAGCAAGCGAAAACCAAAATTTATTATTTTTTTGGTCACCTTATTTCCAGAAATTTTTTTTCTGTGGAGAGACAGACATAGGGATAGTAAAAGAGAGAGCAGTTTATCAAAAATATGGCAATTTCGTGAATATTTCCTAGTTTCTATTAATTAACTAACTAGGTCATTATTCATCTTTTATATAAAATAATTATGATTAGGTAAACACCACACACGTTTTATATTCCAAAAGGTGACAAAAGTAAATATTATTTATCATTCTTTTTATGGAACAATTCATAAGTAGTAGTGCAGCCTGGAATTTCTTTTTTTGGGCGGGAGGGGGCCGGGATGGCGGCGGTAACTTTAATTCTATATCACGCTTCATTTGATTTAAATGATTAATGTGTATGTATGAGAAATTGGCAATTAGACAACTACAGGACGATAATATAGTAGGGTTAGAAATAGCACGGAATACGAGATTAGAACGTACTAAACGCATAATTGTTGCCGAGATCCAAATATTTCTCGAAAAAGTCCAGATGGGCTCTGAAAACGCTGGGAAATCTTTCTACCAGTTAATGCTGAATAGAATTTTCTCAGAAGCATCTAGAGAGTGAAGAGTCACGTGTCACAGTTCTGATTGGGTGATTACCTACCCTACTACTATGTTTAGCATGGTTTCAGAACCTTGCAGAAGTCCAAGGTCATTTGTGATAATATAAATGCCCTCGATTTTCTGTACATAAACTAACATTAAAGTAAAGCATTCCTTTTAGACTTCACACCTTTTCATTCGTGTCCACGTTGTCGTGCAGATTTAGCCTGAGGTTATTAGAAGAGCTTAGGAAACCGATTCATGAGTTCAGTTAGAAGACTTATTAATAATAAAAACAGAACATTTACTCAATGCGAATATATGATCCATATGATCTATAATTTATTAACTTGCAAGAAAGATCCACATATATTACCAAAATAACTTAATGATTTGTTCTATTCTTTATAGAGATCGTCATCCGCCAACTTTTATTATGCTTCAAATTATCATCATACTTTCCCTACAACATCTTCATCACCCGGCGTTTATTCATTTCATACTTCACAATTTTCGATTTCTCCAGTACTTAGCAGTGGAAGTAAACCACCGAAAACATTTGTTCCAACAGCATGTGTGTTACCTTCAACTAGTCATCGTGATCCCTCATTTAGTGTATTATTTTTAACAATTAAAACTAAAACTTCCAGGTCAGTAATTCTTTTCATTGATGATTGTGAAACTGTCATTGTCATTCTAGACAACATTATCATCACATTACTTACCTCACGTAGAGTAATATGTTGTTTCATTTAAATGCATACAACTTTAAAAAATTTATTTTTCCAGAGTTAATGGAAATAATATGATACAGTTGCATAGACCTAGAAAAAGTTAATGTATTCTTGCGTGAATCATACGATCTATTTGTAAAAGATACTTAGCTACTCAAACTTAAGTAGAACTCGATTATGTATAATTTATTCAGTCGAAAGACAATTGGTTCAACTACACCAAACTCAATGTTACCTGAATTGGTAGTCTACTATTAAAATAGTTATAGATTAAATAAATTATGTAAAAATTAATAATACATGTGATAATTTGCCTATTTGTTATCGAATTGTACTGTTAGTCAGATTTATAAATAATAATTGACTGGGTAAATGGTACTTTACAATTTTCTTGTGTACATTTTAATGATGTTATGTTCCAGTTTGTAAATCAGTTCACATCAAGGTATTTCGTTATGTCTTGTTATTTATGTAAAAACAAAAGATAATCATCACATAAGACTTTTTGTTTTAGTAGCTTTATGAACACGATTGTTTGTGTGTATTAACAGAAAACCTGTTCCAAATGCTTCAAAATTTTTAATTAACAATGTTTACGCTTTTCAATTTGAATATATTTTCACATGACAGTTTATTGAACACTGCTAATGTTAGTTGATTGGAGGTGATTGGTTCCATTTTACTTTACACTTACCAACAAAGCACATTTTCTTAACAACCTTGAAGAAACTGATCCTCTCCATGAGATTTGAACTTCACCAAAATGTACCAGTTATATACGTTACCATTGAGCTATTCAGATCGTTATTGATCTTTCGTTAGACAGATATTTACACTGGAAAAGACCATCGATTAGTAAATCATTTCATGTTTGTCCTAGTCATTAGTACTAATCTAGTTTTATCTGTTCAAGTGACATGTACGTGATTTTGAGTCACTAGGACCAATCGACACATTTGTAAGTTGATGGAATAAGATTAGTACTGATGATGACTTGACAAACTGGAAATCGGTTACTATTCATGTTCACGTATTTTTGTAATTCTTTGTCTCGGTGGCGTTTTGTGATTAGGGGAGTCCACCACTTCTTGTAGCTCATCTGATTTCACAGTCTGGTTATACTCACCTATAAATTCGTACATGATACTCCAGCTAACCCCATTTGGATAACGGTGATATTAAACGCTCAACACGAAATTTTATGGGACTTTATTCAATCAAATGTACTGATAAACAAAACAAGATAAGGAGAATAATTGTAGCGATATAGTGTTGAAATCGGCAATACTAGCCGATTTGTTAAAGAATCTTGTATCTCAGCTTACATGGTTTAAACAAAAAAGGGTAATATAGACAAACGGATATGGAAAAGCACTCGTGTTCAAGAAATATACATAAGATAAAAGTTCAAGATTAATTATATATGAATACATATTATATAACCAATAAGATTACAACATTATATGCATTCCGTTTTGTATCAGTTCACACAAGCGCTTGTATTAATCTATCAATATCAATTCATGATATGGTTGTAGTAAATTTGACGGAGTGTTTATTACTAATCCAAGTGTACATTGGAGTTTTCGTGATAATTTACACTGGTCTACTATTATTCAATCGTTCATATTATGTATGTACATCAAGTTCTTGCAATATGATTTAATCACCTGTCGGAAGTCTAGCCACATAAATATCATTTATTAGGTTATCGGTCTGAACCATATTCAACGTAACTTCAAACCTAACATCTACGACTCATAAACCGATCTTTATGATTTAATGATTTAATAACTGAAGATCATAACGATCAACTATTGTATCGCTTGTTTGAACCTTGTGTCACTATAAGCACAGATGGATAGTAGCTAGCAGTGGAATCCAGGACGCGCGTTTCTTCCAATTCAGGACTTCTTAGCTAGATGTGCTTACATCCTAGGACTCAAAATCAGTGCTTTTCGCTTTGGACGCAATCGTGCTATCCACTTAGCTACTGAGTCCCGATAGCCACTTGCTTGTGCAATGGAATGAATGTTAATTCGTTCGTTTTGGTTGTTCGGGTCTTCTTATTGATGTTCAGGACTCCAGTTGATCAGTCCCTTTTGTCATATTTCATACTGAATTCAGATCAATCACAGTCCTAAGCTTCAATGGGAAGATCCTAACAATCAATATGTGTGAATTAAAATTCATCTGAACTCAGTAGCCAGGTGGATAACGCGGCGGCATGTGGCACAAAAGGTACTGAATTTGAGTGTCAGAGTGAACATGAACTCTGGGATGTAAGAACATCCAACAGACGAGTCCCAGGTGGGACAAAATGCGCTTCCTGGTTTTTACTTTTAGCTTACTTCACTCATTATAAAATAACAACTAGATATTAGTAGTACTAGTCATTATATAGAAAGGTTTGCTCAAACCGTAGTGTGTGGAAAGGTATTTGGTTATTGGTTTAAATGAGTCGATTTGTTAATATTATTCAAACCTATGTCACTGAAAAAATAAACTTGTAAAAAACTATGAAAGACAATAATATCTGTAGTGGTAATATTATTATGTCCTTTTACTCTCTAGTAAGCGCACTGCTGAGAAACTCTTTCCCAGAACAGAACAACTGTTAAGACCTTGGTTTTCAGTATCTGTCTAAATAAAATTAGTCCGTGGTGTAAAGTATAAAAATCTGAACCAGACATGTAAGCGAACAATATTGTGTTCAGTTAGATCTTCATCAGGCTTACTCTAAAAGACATAAATATTTACATGAATATGTATTAAACTACTCAAGGCAATTTATAAGTCAATGATCATAATTAAAAAATATATGAAAGGTACTGATTGGAAGTAAGAAGACAAGTGTAATAATAAGTTCAACAGAGAAAATAGGTCAAACTTGAATAAATAGACTTCGAAATAATAATCACAAAACCTTATTGAAATTACGTGATAAGAAGCTTTTAAAGTCAGATAATGAAGCACATAAACGGAAAGAGGTGAGAATGATGGAAATATGCGAGATGTAAATAAATCAGTGGAATCATTTATTAAGTCGTATCTGGCCAAAGAAGAGTCAGGGATGTCACAAATTTCTTCTGAACACATAGACTAGGGTTATAGGTTCAGATCCTTATATCTGGGAGACGGGATCAAGTCCCACTGAGAAATGACTAAGATATATGATACATTACTCGAATTAATTTAGCTTGATCTAGCACATCCACTGTTAATCAGGTGTGTTAATACAGAGCCTTTGTTTTCACCTTTTCGAACCCAGATGAGAGATGCTCATTCATCAGTATAAAGATCTAGCGATCTGCACAAACCCCCAACCTACTGATATTACTCTGCAAACTCAGTTATAAAAGTATGTCTGAAAGGGATCTTACAAAGAGATGAGTATGTTATCACTTTTGCTATTTACCATATAAAATTAGTTTCTTCTAAAACCGAACACCCCTTAAAAGTCAACTCGTTATCTACTGTACTACTTACAAAGGTATCAGTAGCTTTTAAAGTTCTGTCGAAATGAATGTCGTTCACATTCGTTTCAATGTTGTTCTGAATTTGCATGTAAACGTCATCTTACAAGGGTTGTATGGAATATATATGTACACATGTTCTTATTTAGTGGTTCGTTTTGATTACTTCCGCCTGATTGAGTATTTGTTTAGATAAATTTAATGTTAGTCTTGTAACGTGGTAATGTCTCTCTTACTGTTTGACAAGGGTTTGATACTCTCAGAGTCCATCATTCCTTTGAAGATTGCAGACACATGTTGTTGCCGACTGCTAACTGGCACGAAACCTAGGTCAAGGACTTACTGCAGGCTATCAGGATCACTACCATTATTCATCACAATGCACATACATTATCAAGCCACCTAAACAAATTAACAGAATCTATCGCTCCTGATTGATGTCTTTCAATGCTATTTTTTCTGGATTATATTTTCAGAGAGTTTTCAAATCCACAGAATAAAAGGTCACGCGATCAATGAATGATTTAACTGCTAAATCATCTTTAAGCATTCATCAATCAAAGGCAAATAATATGACTTCTTTGAATACCTTGAATAAACAAACAGGATACTCTATTCGTCGAAGATATACAACATACGCTGCGAATCGTTTCAATGTTGGTCTAAGACCTGAACCTCTAAATAGGCCTCTTGCTAAACAAAATCAGTTCATTTGACTATATATACAGAGGTAATTGAATATATATATATATATATATATATATATATATATATATATATATATATATATATATATATATCAGAAAAAGCTTTGCATATAATTGCATTAAGTAAATGTTCTGTTTTTATTATTAATGTCTTCTAACTGAACTCATGAATCGGTTTCCTAAGCTCTTCTAATAACCTCAGGCTAAATCTGCACGACAACGTGGACACGAATGAAAAGGTGTGAAGTCTAAAAGGAATGCTTTACTTTAATGTTAGTTTATGTACAGAAAATCGAGGGCATTTATATTATCACAAATGACCTTGGACTTCTGCAAGGTTCTGAAACCATGCTAAACATAGTAGTAGGGTAGGTAATCACCCAATCAGAACTGTGACACGTGACTCTTCACTCTCTAGATGCTTCTGAGAAAATTCTATTCAGCATTAACTGGTAGAAAGATTTCCCAGCGTTTTCAGAGCCCATCTGGACTTTTTCGAGAAATATTTGGATCTCGGCAACAATTATGCGTTTAGTACGTTCTAATCTCGTATTCCGTGCTATTTCTAACCCTACTATATTATCATCCTACACTCGATTGTCTATTACTTTGGGAGACCCATTGTAAATTCTTTGATAAGTAGTTATAAGTGTACAGCAAAAATGGCAGTGCACCGCCCCTAAATGCCATAGTACGGTCAAAGGTGGGGGAAGTTCACTCTACTTCGAAGTACTCTCATATGACCACTGCAAGTTAAGTCTTAATCATTTCCTTATGGTGGCGATGATATTGTTTACGAATTTGAGAGGTCGAGAAGTGAATGTCCAGCACTTAAACCGTATTGGTGAGTACGGAGTATTCACCAAGGGGAGTTGGGAAGACCTCATTCCAAACGAATGGTGCACATGGGCTCAAGGATCC